AAACTTATACGTCACCGCCAACCACTGCTAGTTCCTCCAACAATTTGCTCGGTGCATCAGTCCACGTTATACCGTAATGTGACATAAGTCAACTGCAATTCAAGCCTTGGCTAGTGTCACTGTAGGGCATGTTCAGGAATGCGCACCACGCAACAAATGGCCGGCAGGCAACACCACAACTCTCTTGCATCTTACATTCCAAACAGTCTCCCAAGGCACACAAAAATATTTATATTTAACTGTAACTCACCACGATCCTTGGCACTGAAGCCTGTCGAACGATCCTTGGGGAATAGCTTGACTGAGCAGATAGACGTGACAACCTTCGTCAGTGCGATCCCGGAAATCCCCGAATTAGGGATCTAAACACGGAGATTCGACAAATTGTGAACGAAAAAAAGCGGAAGAAGTGGGAAAAGCATCTGAAGATTTGCAACTTTACCTCTGGTGTAAGTACCTTTGGTCAACCGTGAGTTCACTGTCGAACCCGACAGAATGGAAATCTCTTTCGGTGTCCCTGCTTCATCTGGGCTGGAGTGATGCGAGAGCTACTTTATAAGACAGTTCACGCTGCATCCTCTGGCGGAAAAAGCCAAACGTCGAGTGATAAGAAGGCTGCACAAACTACCAGCGTGCAGTGCGCGTCTTTCTTTCACCACCTTACCGCTGGTGAGCCATCGATAAGATGAAAGCCTCCGAATTCATAGGACCCGACGGAATATGCAAGCTGATGCTAAAAAAAAGTGGGTCCTGTGGTAGTAGGTTACCTTACCAAGGTCCTGAACCTGTCCATGGCCACTACCATTACTCCGGACATCTGAAAAATTGGAGGAGTGGTCCCACTTCTCAAGCCGAGAAAACCGGCCAACAAAGGAGAGTCTTCTTGGCCGATAACCCTTCTCGCTGGTTGGACGTTATACGACGAAGCTACGGACTTTCTAAAACACGACGGACAGCCACCGGATGCCTTCTAATGTCGCTTCAGCACCATCTACACAATGAGGCTCAAATGCTCCTCGTCAGGCGGCATAACACAAATCTCTGTAAGCAATTCACAGTCGGTCTCGACCTACACCGACTCGCGGACCTGTGAATACCGTTTTGGGAACACAACCACCTAACGTGGACGAGTCAGTGCTTCGTCTGCCTCGGGAGACTCGCACCACCATAGCTCGCACCACCACTAACCCAATCGGAGTTGCGTACTTTCTGGGTTTTCCGTTGGTTGAGCTTGACGACAACGACTGAGGTAGTATGATCACTCAGAAACGGCTGGGTGGATTTAAATAAATCATATGGAATATTCTTTTTGGTTTTCAAGTGTCACCTGCTTAAAAATTATATTTAATTCTAGCGTTTTAACGCCTTGGGGGCTTACTCGTAACATTTTATTATTCAATTTTAAAGTTCTGTTGTAGCTGCTCTTTAGCATTTGCATTTCGTGGATTATTTATTATTCAAAAATTTCTGTGAATTCTCTGTTATCCGGTGATATATTTTGTTTGCCGCCTGCTGCATTGTGGTCCTTCGCCTTTTTGGCCTAGCATGTAGCCATACATATATACGATTTTTTTTTTGCTCAAGTTTTGTCCTTCCGCTTGCAGCAGTCTTTGGTTATGATTTTATACATGCATATACATACATATATGTATGTATATATTAATATGCATGAGTATCTTACACAGGCATACATATGCATACATGTACATAAATAATGTTATAGTGTGCGTCTATTTTATAATTAGAATTTTAAGCTGTTTATATACCCGTCATAGAGCAGCCGCAAATGTCCATACTAAGCTAAGCTCAACAGGCACAAAGGCTGAGATGAGCGCGCGGGCGCACACACAGAATATACGAGTGTATAGGCATATTTGTTTGTACATACATGTACATATGTACACACATACATATATGGTATTTGTATTAAAAATATCCTGTCTCGCAATTTTCTGTGTCACTGCTGTTTATCGCCGTGAGTGCACAAAGGTTTATATGTATGTATATCTACTACGCAGGCAAGTAATATTTTTATACCAGAGCGCACTTGTACACAAGGGTATATTAACTTTGTTCACGTAACAGCCAAAACGAATCGAAATAGATATAGACAAATGTATACATATATGCTCAGAATGAATAGAGAAGTCGATTACGCCATATCTGTCTGTCCGTCTGTCCGTCAGTCCATCTGTCCGTCTGTCCGTCCGTCCGTGTACACGATAACTCGAGCAAAAATTGAGATATTTCAACGAAATTTAGCATGTAGATTTCCATTTATCCAAGGTAGGCTGGTGTTGAAAATCGGACTGTAACCACGCCTACGTCCCCTATATCGGTAATTTAGAGAAATACAAAATTTTCGATAAATCGGTAAATATTAAGGCTAATTTATCCAAAATTGATGCTTGCAACAATTCTTTACCAAAACTTCAGAAATGCTTGAAACTTCAATACTTCGAAATTTAAGGTCGCTAATTTACTCAAAATTGATACACCCCGGCTTATCATGTAGCGGTAGCTTTCGGTAAGGTGAAAAACATATATTTAATACTTGCGCCGGGTATTTAATGTTCGGCTTCGCCCGAACTTAGACTTTCATACTTGTTTTAAATCAACTAATTGAAAACTACTTTAAAACAAATGTGGAGAGTAAATATTTCGAATTTTGATACTCTTTTTACTCGAAGGAACAATTTGAATGTTGGAAGTATGAAAAAGCATCTGTGAAGTGCAGAACGAAAGTGTATTCAAACGAAATATACTGACTGTAAAGTGATTTAAAATGCATTTTAAAGTAGTTGAGAGTTGGACAATTGACTGCTTCCTAGGTCATTGCCATGTTAAATAAATCAGTTCGTTGCAGGGGAAAAAGTGATAATTTCAATTAGTTGTTATTGAAAATAAAGTAAATCCTAAATTACTTTAAAATTAATTTAATTACCGGCAGGGTATATGTGCGGCTGTTCATTTGTATACATACTTCTTACTGGCACTCATTTAAAACAACCAGTTCAGTGACTGCAGCACAGTTTGTGCCATAAAAAATGGTACTTTCTTCTTCATTTTGTCATTTGTCGCCTCTCGCAGCTAGGCGATGTTTGCATGTATGAGTATGCGTAAATATATATCTATATACAATGGTATAGGAATGTAAAAGTATGTTTATGTGTATACTGCTGATCCCTTTATAGCTTTTATGACAGTAGCAGGCTCGAGATTTTCTGATCCCAATTTGGCCCCTTTCATCTGCTTGTCTATGCGCTCGCAATTTCATTTAATACATTCGCAGTTTTTTTCTGCTGCTCTTCATTTTGCTTGATTTTTAAGTTTATTTTTTGTGTTTCTTTATTTTATCTTTTTTGTTGTTTCTTTCGTTTTTGCCAGCTTTATGATTTTTCATTATTACTTCCATTTGGCGTTTTGGCCAAGTTTTATGCTCTTTAGGTTTTTTTAGTTCAAGGTTTTTTTAGCCATACTCTTCCTCATTCGATTCAATTTCTTTTGCTATTGTTACGAAGTAGGCATTGTAGGTGCGAGAGTGCAAGATTCTGTGTAGTTATGGGTGCATGTGGGCTAGGGGTAGGATAGTGTAGCAAAATAAGAGCGCATATCAATGAGAAACACCCCATTGACATGATTTAAATGTAAACTCGCCAGCAAAAGCATAGCTGGCAAAAAGTGAAAGCTGAAAGACAATGTTAAGCTAAGCGTTGAAAATCAATTTGTATATTTAAAGCATCGTTTTAGGCTGTCAGGCGCATGCTAGGGATACGGGTTGCTTAATTTCCTATGTATGCCAAAGCTGTAAAATACAAAAGGACGCAGCGAGAGGTTTAATCTGTTGCGCTAAATCGGAAAAAAACAGCTATACGCCCCACATACTTGCGTACATAATCGAGTGAGTACTCGTATACATATGTGAGTTCAATTAAGGTCAAACGGACCGGAATTTGTTATAATAAATAATAATCCAGATATAATTCCATGAATACTACATTCTCTGGTATTATGGTATCGAATATTTCTGATGGCAGAAGGAACCTTTTATTCCGATCGAATCCAAAAACGCTGTAGACACTATTTTAAGCATGTCGACTTAGTCTAGATCGAAGAACTTCGTACTACTGAACTGGTTTCTGCATTTTTATTCGTGGACGTAATTGCTTCTTTAGTGCACCCATGTTTTTTTTCATCGGAACCGTTGTGAAGTCGGTAGTCCTCTCTCCGTTGTCTAAAATGTTATGAAGACTGGGTTTTGAACCATTAATACTTTTTGTGCCCATCGCGGCATTAAAGTCACTCCCTGATCTCATAAATATGACTTTATTGAATTTAGCCCTTGTGCTGAGTATGCCGATTCATTCTATGATGGAGGTGAATATGACACAAGGTGCCTCATGGATAAAAAGTGAGCTTAAGCTCCGACTCTAGTTCCAGTACAAATTCTTAATCAAGAGCTCTCTTCATCAGTGCAAAAATTTAGTCTAAGCTTGCGCTCAGTTTTAATGCATGGGGCTCAAGGTATCGAAGTCCCCGCCCACCAAAAACCTTACACTAAATTGGTGTTCCGTCATTTAGAAGCTTTAGTAGATGTCGCTCATTGCAAATTTTTGGCAGCCTCGTGCTTGGTTCTTGTAATGCGGTGATATCAGTTATATAGCATACAACAGCTTGACAGGGTCATATTTCCTATAGATGGTGCGAAAATTTCGGCTGCATATCCATAAATTCTAGTCTTTGCTCCGTTTGCGAGGTTTTTCAGAGTTCAGCGGCTTTTTTGGTATTTTCATTTACAGAATTTTGTATTCAAAATTTGCAGATCGAAATCATGAAGACTTCAGCAATTTGCAGAGCTACTGGACTCAAGGAAAAAAATTGATTAAAAGTATATGCATACATTTATTCCACTTCTGAATAATAAAACATTTTCTTCACTCTCAATTAACTTTTGAATTACGCACTTTTAACGCATCTCCTCTCTATTTTTTTACTTTCAGGTTGATATTTCCTGCCGCAATACTAAACAAACAGTTAGCTCCATATTGACACGCACAAACTTTGTCACACTGAAATATGTAACCGATAATTGGGGTACAGATGCGAATGGTTTCAAGCTGGTTATAACATCGGTCAAGGATCCAAGTATGTATACGTTTAAAAATTAAATTCAAATGAACTCATAACACCTACTAATTGACTCTGAAGCTGCAGAGACGGTAGCAATCTTTCGTTTTATAGCCATTACTTTTGTCTTTTCAAACTTAACTTGATGCAAATGCCTTAACTCATTTATTAACTGGTTTTTTTTTTCATTTCTTCTAATGCTACGTCTAACCACTATTTTTCTTATGCAAATTCACAGAGCACACCTGCAATGATTTCACTTGTGCAGCGCGTGAATTTTGCATAAGTCCGGATTTACTCTGCGATGGCATTAATCATTGCGGTGACAATTCTGATGAATCGGTGTGCCAAAGTAAGTATAAAATAAAAGCAGAAAAGGTATAAGTGTGAAGGAGACAATAGAGTATAAAAAATATTACTGTAATTGAATTAGTAATTTAGTAAGCTGCCTTTATTATGCATTCCCTAAGTAGGGAGAGCAGTTTAAGTACTTGGAAAAGTGTAAAAAAATTTCATTAATAGGGGACTTGAGTTGGTGGGCGAATATTAAAAAAAAAAATATTTTCTCAGCTTTGTTAGGATAAAATGTCAGTAGCTTCGTTGATTGCCAAGCATAAAGCTTTCAATGTAGAAATGTCCATTTCATTATTTTCTTACATTTATGTACAATACCTTATTTACTTTTAGGCGAAACAGCTGCCACAGTTTTCGGGGTAGATATGACTTGGTTTGTGTTGATCGTGGTCGGTATCGTACTGGTTTTGAGCGCCGTAATCGTAGGTATTTCGATATGCGTTTGCCGACGACAGGATGAAGCGAACCTCAACCAAAATACAGCAATACAAAGTGAGTCATCTACATATATATGTACATACATATATACTCATACTACTTGTGTGTACACGTTAGGGAGGTCCTTAAAATATCGGCAGCTAAATTTTGTATAATGCTCGCCTTTATTTTGTTCTATAAAAAGTAAAGACATCCAATAAAATTACAAAATTTTTAATAGTAAATACCAGCAGAGTTTTAAAAAATTTAAATTTTTCAAAGGCGCGAAATTTCGACAAAACTTTAACTTAGACCAGCTGTAATTCAGCGTATTGAAACTTATTGTGATGAAGTTTTGTCGAATTTTTGCGATTAAGGGCCAAATTCACAAAGTTTGAACCAGCATGCAACCATAGTTAAACTCTTGTGAAATTGAATTGTTTTTGTGGAACGAATTTCAAATTGGAATAGAAAAGTATTGATATTTAGATTTGTATATTTTCAGCGATATTAATTTTCATAGTAAACTATGTGACTCTGTATAAATAAATTCAAAGTTAAACTCTTGTTGGTGGTAAAGTTAACAATCGTTTAACTAAGCACTGTGAATCCCGCTCTAAAAACATACGATTTTTCAGACTCCTAAATTTTTTAATTTTCGATTTGTCTTTATTTTGTTCGTAAAAAAAAAAAAAATAAATTATATTCAACAATTTTTATTGAGCTTGGGGCCGTTTTTAAAGAAAATCTATTGTGTAAAAGCAACAATAATTTTGAGAAAATGGTACAAATGATAACTATTTCGGAAATCACCACATATCCTCATCCGAAATTTACGTGATTTCCGAAATAGTTATCACTTCTACCATTTTTTCAAAATTATTATTAATTTTCTACAATAGTTTTTCATTACAAACGGCCTCAAGCTCAATAAGAATTGTTGAATATAATTGTTATAAGGCCATAAAATAACAAAAACTGAATGAAAGCCATGCCCCATCACGTTGATATTTTTTTAGGACCACCCAACTATGCATATATACGGCAATAGAGTAATGTCCTCTCTCCCAACTCTTTTTCCAGTGCATCATACCGCCGAAACAAATGGCTCATCGAAGCATCTGCACTATCATCATGGCGGCACATTGTCGCGTGAACACACACAACTGCCACCGACGTCGGGAAACTGGCATCACCCTGCGGGACCATACGGGTACCACAGCATTCTACGCAACTTATCGAAGATGGCCACCAAAGTCCGTCCCATTTGGTGCTTAGCAAATTCCGTCAATTAGGTCAAGATCTTTCACATACAAATCCGGCCGCCGCCGCTGCTGTCGCAACAGCGGGCCTCCATCAAACGAACATATCTGTGGGTAATCAAAATACAGCGGCCGCAGCAGCAGCCGCCGCAGCTGTCAGTGCTGCACAGAAGGATGAATGGTTCGTTTAGGTGGAGGTTGAGGAGGAGGAGAATGAATATAGAGGAGCAACACATTAAGCAGTGAATGATCAATTAGACTTCAGGAGAACTGTTGTTTTTTTCTTTTTACATAATTTTTAAATTAAAAAAAAAAAGGATTTTGCATGGCATTAAATGAAGTAAGTATGACCAGTGACAAGAGTATATACATACTTAGCTTAGTAATTTTATTATAAAGTGCAGTAGTATGAGAGCTTTTAGATGCAATGAGCTTTCATAAGTAGTAAGAACAATAAAATTGTGTAAGGTCTTAGCATAAATGTTTTATTCGTGAAAGCTCTCAAATTTTGAAAATCTTATCAAAATATTACATAAATGAGCTAAAAGTGTATAAACGCACGAAAGCCATTGCCATTTATTTTAGTGCGAATTTAAAAGAGTATGAGCCTTTTTGGTAAAAGCGCTTGAATTCCAAAAGCGTAGCTAGTATACGACGATTGATTGTAGCTGAAAATCTGCATTTAAAAAGTGCATTTGTGTAAATGAGCTACAAAGAAATACAAACTTTTTGCGAAAGCTCCGTTATGTGCGTAATAAAAGACACCAGCTTGTGTGGTTTATTGAAAAGTATGTGGTTTTGTGCAAATGAAACCTTCCCAGACCCAAAGCTCTAGCAAACTTTTGATATTTACTTTAATAAGTGTACATTAGTGTGCCTTAACAAGAAAGTCAGTCTTTATTTTCTTTGTAAAATTTATTATATTTTAAAAACTCCGCCAAAATATTTTGGAAAAATGTTAAAAAATCGCATTATTTGCGATTTATTAAGCTTAAGCTTTCTATCATCCTAGGTGATTATTTACAAAAGATATTTTTTAAAATTAGTTTTATTTAGAAAAAAACCCGACCATTTGAGATATTTCCAAATTAGTCCAGCTCAAATTAATCTTAATATTTTTCCAAATTATTTTGGTGGAAGTCTTATGATACAATAAATTTTATAATTCCAATGGAAAAACAATACCGACGTGTTTTTTGTATGAAGAGTGATCCAACCTAATGCGCATACATATCCTTTTTACTGCACCATTTGTTCTTACTAATTTTAATGCCAACTTTTCTTCATTGCAGGACTGTATAAAAGTTATCAACATCAAATTTAGTGGGCATCTACGCGCAGGGTGATCATTTAAGAGATTTATAGTACCCAAATCTCTTAGCGTTGAGCATAGAAAATTTCAGCATGCACTTGTCAAAAGTATGTATGTATGAAATTTTAGTGTCGGATAATCAACGCAACTTGTAAATAAAATATAAATACATATAAACAATTAAATAAATGTTATTGTAATTGATTAAAATTGAAGTAATCTTTTTTTTTTTAGTAACACATTGATGGTCTAAAAATGTGTAACAGTGAATATATTAGGAAAAATGTGTAATAAAAATTTACTAAAAGAAAGGTAGTTAATAGAGAATTTTAATTTTAAGCCTAAAAGTATGAAATGAAAACTGGATGAAGTCAAAGCCGTAAATTTAAAGCTAAGCAATTAGTTTTAGCCTAAGATATATGCTCCTTTTTTACAATAAAAATAAATTGAAAAGCGAATATAATAAAAATTATAAAAAATAATTAGTTTAAGAAATAGAACTTGATTTCTTGCAAATAACACAGGAATGTGGAAAGTTTGGACGAAAAATCGATCTTCGTTTTTTTTTTAACAATATTTTAATCTTTACAGTGGTTACTACATAGCTTTCAAAATATTTCATCTATTAATAACTGCCTAAACACAGCAGATAAAAAAAATTTTGAGCTTTTGTGCTTTTGTTTTTTAACGTTAGACTTCAGAAATGCTTTAGAACTTTCATTAGCTTTTTTGATTTAGTTTCTTATTCAATGGCCTGAAAATACTTTAAAAAATTTCGTTTTGGGCTTCGGAGCTTTTATGATTTTTTTTTTTAAAGTCAGCTTCCATCAAAAGATCTTTAAGTTTATAAAATTTCGTAATGTGAATGCTTAAGAGCGTGCTATTAAGTTGAACACTGAAAAAAAAGCTTTCGAAGACTCCATTTTCTGCATTTGTGACTTGTATACTTAGGTTAGTGTACATCAAAAAAGCTTGTAGGTTCATTGAGTTCAAAGAACTTTCAAAATGGGAAAGCTTAAGAACTGGTTACTTAGTACAACAGTCTGAAAAATTACTTTGAGGATGTCATTTTATGCTTTTGGAGCTTTTCAAGCTTTAGTGTTCGTAACTCTTTAATTTAGATTTTCTTATAAAAAGCTTTTAGTTTATTTCGAGATGTGAATCTCTTTTAGCTGGTTAATGGTTCAATAGCCAGAATAACTCTTTAAAGGTGTGACTTTAAGCTTTTAGGCCTTCGTACTTTTGTGTTTCAAAGTTAAAATTCAACAAAAAAGCTTCAAAGTTGTTGTGCAAATTTTATAATGAGAAAGCTTTGAAATTAATAGCTTTATTCAATAACCTTAAAAAAGCCTTTGAAGATGCAATTTTCACCACGTTGTTTTTGAAACTCGATGTGTAGATTTCCTTAGCGTTAAAAAAACTTGTTTTAGACCGGGGACGGGCACGCCTTGCCTGCCTGCGGAGTAAAATATCTATTTGCACATCGCTTTTCTATATATACTAATGTTAACCAGAGAGAGCTTTTATCCCCTGCTCATCCACATATATGTATATGTGTGGTATATATACCAAATGTACATCAATCTTAAAAAAGTGTCGCATGGGTGACTATTAAGGGGCCAACATTATCGTTAATGCTTTCAGGCACAGACAGAAAGCTGTATAAAGCATTGAAAATAACACTTTTTTCTGTATTGTATGCTCTGAAAGCTCAAAACCATGAAAAATTCTGCATGAGTGACTATTTCGTGACCAACTCTACTTTAAAAACTTTCGGGTTCACAAATTAAGCTATGGTTTGAAATCTCAATTATGACACCATTTGTCAATGAGAGTTGTTTGACTTTTCAAACTTCTATTGAATTTTTCGAGAGAACTTTTGTATAAATAGTTTACGCCTTGTAAATTTGGTAAAAACATTTTACTCGCTGAAAGTTTCAGCTAAAAAGCTCTCATAACATTTTTTTTATTTTTAAAAGCACAAAAGCTGTCTTTGTAAAAATTCGACGTTGACAAGCGGCAATGGAAAGTTTTAGCTTAAAGCTTTCATCGATTTTTTATTTCTAAAAGCACAAAAGCTGCTTTTATTTGAAAATTCGATGCTGACATAGGATCTAACAAAAGAGGAAAAAGGATTGAAAAGCAAAGCTCAGCGGTAAAACATTTCAAGAATCCCAGAAAACTGAATCAAAGAGTATTACAATATCAAAGCCGTTGGCGACGATAATATTGAAAAGCCACTTCCATGAGGAAAATAAATTTTTCAAACACAAAAATTTTAGGAAAACTAAAGTTGTAAGAAAATAATTGTAAAAAAGCTCACTTGTAGTTAATAAGGCAGGACAGTGCAATAATAAAATTTTTCCCAAAGTTCGTAAGTACTTAATCATTTCAAAAAAAAAACAAAAACCTGTACACTGCAAATTTACATAAAAGCTATGGAATATTATAAAAAATAGTGCAAATAATACGAAATTGTAGCTAACTGTTTAAAAGCCACAAAGAAAAACTCAATTTAATATTACTACATATAATAAAACAACAAACAAGGGATGTAAATAGTTGACAATACAGCAAATAAAAAACATTAAATATATAGATTGAAGGAAAAGAAATGGTACCAAAAAAATATGTAAAGCTAAACGATAATATCAAAGAGCGAATACCAGAAGCAGTTACACATTTTCATCAAAAAAAAAGGTTAGATGTCATTGTTTATTGGAATTTTGATTTTGCATAAGACGCAGTAAAATTTAAAAGTCTAGATTTTTATGTCAAATTCAGCGCTTAGTAGCTTTGTAGTTCATTGTCATCAAGAAATTTATTCTGTCACATGAAGCCAAGACTAGTAGCATTGCAGAGAAAAGTCTAGAAGCAGTTAACATAAGTTAGAAGCAATTATGTGTCTTTATTTAATTTAATTTTTTATGTTTTTTTATTTAATTTTGATTAATACCATTCTCTTGATTTTCTTCAGTAATATATAGACAAATAAGCCCTTAAACTTTCATTGGATAAGTTTTATTTACTGAGTAACATAAATGAACAATCGCCAATGACCAACGCATTTTGAGCCAAACATTAAATGTTGTGTTCTTATAAAATCGTCCCATCTGACTCATTTTTGAAAGTTGTTCTAATTCTCTCGTTAAAAATATGTGATACAAAGTTGCATGGTCCTAATCTATCATATGATGCATGTAACATGTCCAATTAAAAAATATCACATGCTCATATAACAGCTGATGCATCATCAAATATCACGCGAGGTAACATCGCTTGTGCATACATACATATATTGCTTGATCATACACGTTTATAGCGTTTAGTAATATAATTTACGGAAATTTGAATATTTGAAGGTTTTTTAACGAAATCTTATTCATTTGGGATCTGTACATCACATGCTTGAGCATACAAACCAATATTAGATCACATCATTTCAAATCGCATCACTTTAAGCAGTTCAGTTAAATTTCACCTCATAATTCCGCAACTCTTATAACATAGCATTCCGAAAATAACACGTTTTAGTGAAAGATCAAATAAAATAATATCAAATGACGCATAAACAATTTATCTCAAGACGGTCGAGAACGTTCTCAGCGAGAATAATATAAGTAAAAAAACCCTGGGGTACGTTTTCTAAAGTTGGATTTTCATGCGACGATTTTCTAGGCGATTCAACATTGCTCAAGAAAAATCGCTCGTGTAAATGGTGACTCAAAAATCGCTTGCCTCAAAGTAGACAGACAAAGTCAACTTTTGCAGGAACATTTATAAAACAAAAAAAGTCTCCGGTACATTCTGGCAAAATAAAAAACAGGAACAAAAGTCTAAGGAGCATTCTGACAGGGAACGAAACGGGAGCACACCTTCTCTGAACTATTCACGAAGAATGGAAGGCACGAAATATTCTTACACAGAAAATGAAAAATTGCTTCATACATGGACAGTTCCCTCTTATGATAAACTATCCGGTAGTTGAAATGATGGCTTAGAATTACTAATCATAATTCTCACTAAAACGAATTTCCATCCCAACATGCAAACAGCTCTCTAATTCTTAACGTTAATTTCTCAAAACTTTTGTTCTCATTTTGTTCTCTACCAGAACGTTACCCAGACTTGAAAACGTTCTCGATACGTTCGTTCTCATTGAAAAAACACGTAAATATGTGGCTACCACTGTATATTGGTCATTATGGCCTTCTATGACCTTCTATAATTTTTCGGGTAACTCCATAATTCCATCAGTGTTGAAATCCGTCGCCTGTTGCGTAGATCAATACCGGGTTGGAAAGATTGTTGCTTATAATCCTCCGAAGATATGTTCAAACTTTAAACTTCCGGAGAGCCTGGAGTATTTTATGCCAGCATGCAGTATTTAAAGCATCCTTCACGTCCAGAGTAATAGCAAGCAGCACTTCTTCGATCTTCGAACTTTTCATCGTTGCCCGCTGATCGCATCTTTAGCCAGCTGTTTAACTAACGTGACCGCTCCTACAGCGGATCTTCCGTTTCGGAAACCGAACTGCATATCTGATAGTCCTCCACCTGCATCGATCGCTGCTACTACTCTATTATTTGTTAAACGGTTTAGCAAATTTCCTACCATGTCTAGCAAATACATAGAGCGATATGCTGCAGGATCACCCGGTGGTTTTCCAGCCTTGGGTTGGAGTACTAAACGCTGTTGCTTCCATATAGCAGGGAACAAACCTTCCACAAAGCGTCCATTGAACGTAGGAACAAACACTTCGGGACTCGCCTTCGAGATAAGCTTGAGTTTAAGCAGTTTTATGTTGGGAATGGAATCAGGGCCTGAAGATTTTCGGGAAATAAAAAAATTAGCCGCGCCTATAACTTCTCCTTCGGCAACTTCAGGAAAAACACATTGTCTTCTGAAGAATTTTTCATTTTATCTGTGGCCGCACTGAATTTTTCACCTTTTTGTAATTACCTTGTATCACCTGATGGTAATTCGGTCAATCGAATTTCTTTCAGTTAATTCATGTGCCACCAAAACATCGAGCTTGTTTAAGTAGCCTGATCTCCTTATATGCTTGATTTTTAGTGCTTCCATTTACTTCATCGACTGTTCCAGTGACAGGCTGACAAGAGGGAGGTACATTATTAACTCACAATTTCCAAAACGGAATCGATCAAACCTCTCCTGGGTCCGGCGTTCACTTACAGCATTCTCACCGTACACTGCACAAATTTTTTTCTGCATGTTTTATGGCCCTTTTGCCCATTTTATAGTACAATGAGTTTTGAAGTCCTGAAATCGCGCGACTAGTATTAAATAATCATCGCACTTCACAATTTATTTCATCACATTCAATACACTTCTTCTGATTGTGCAAAATCACAAGATTTCTCAGCATTTTATGAAATATTCATAACATCATCTGAGGAGAGCATATAGATATCACAACGTACGTGCTTAGCAACATATCACTTCTTGTCATTTTTTTTTTTTTGTTGAACAAAATATTTCAGCGTTGCATGTT